TCTTAATATAAAATTTATTTCCATATTTTGAATTTTGGCTTGCTGGCTATGATGGGAGCCTTTTGTATTCTTTATTGATCTCTTTCTAGGCTCTTTCCTCTCTTATCAGAGGAACTAGATTAGGTAGTGGCATTTTGGGTCTCCCACCTCACAGTGAAATTGGGGATATTGTAGATCTAGTCACTGAGTTAGTAGTCAGCCTGATTCAGAGGCTCCCTGTGCCCATGGCTTTTCCTACTGCTACAGCCTCAGGCAGCTCCGGCAGTCGCTTTTTCAGATTCTTTTCAAAAGAGATGAGGCTGCTGAAATTCTTTGGCTGCCACTACTGCTTCTAAATCTGTAACCCTGTGGGTCTCTGGTATTGGCACACTCACTGCTTTGCATTTCTCTTCATTTTTTACCCAGGATGATTATCTTGTTTTTGGACTCAGCTTGTTTTGGGGTTTCTATTTGTATATTTTGCATATTGTTAATATTAACTTGCATTGTAGGGGGATGTCCTGTCAAAATGGAAACTCAGCTATTTCATCTCTATTATTTCGATTGAAACTCTTTTAATGCTTGCTTTTCTCATAATAACAGATGATTTTAGAAAATGGCCATTAATAACTTATTAGACATAAGAACAAACTCAATCCTCCCCCAAAAACCTTCATTTTATAAAACAGCAAAGTGAGAAAATGGAGAAATTTAGTAAATTGCCTTGGATTGTACAGTTACTAGGTAGCAGAGAAAGGATTCTAAACCAGATAACATGGATCCATAATCTGTGTTCCTAACCACTGTGATATATTCCCTCTCATCTATTAGTTGGGAAAAATAACTTTCTTATAGTTTGTTCTAAGAATGAAGTAAGAGCAGCTGCGAAAAGCCTGATGCTGTGCCAGACATGTAATAGACATTCAACAAATATTTGTTTTTCTTTCCTTTGTGGCAGGCAAATATATTTCCAATATGATAGTTTAAATAAAACTTGTGGCCGGGTGTGGTGGCTCACACCTGTAATCCCAGCACTTCGGGAGGCCAAGGTGGGCGGATGACCTGAGGTCGGGAGTTCGAGATCAGCCTGACCAACATGGAGAAACCCCATCTCTACTAAAAATACAAAATTAGCTGGGCGTGGTGGCGCATGCCTGTAACTCCTGCTACCCGGGAGGCTGAGGCAAGAGAATCACTTGAACTCAGGAGGTGGAGGTTGCGGTGAGGCAAGATCGCACCATTGCACTCCAGCCTGGGTAAGAAGAGTGAAACTTTGTCTCAAAAACAAAACAAAACAAAAACAAACAAAAAACTTGTAAGTAGATTTTGTCTAAAATGTAGTATGTTTCATTTTAGGAAAAAGGGAGGGTGGGAGTTCCATTATTGGACCAAATTCCCTTGTATGGCTTTGAAGGCAGTACTTGCCTGGGAGAGGTGCAGAGCTAAGAAGCAAGGGAATCAGAGGAATAGGATCCAGTGGCAGAGTTCACATTGGAAACCAGACAAGTAAAGAATTCTGCAGAAAAGCTGGTTTGATGCTGGGGAATTCCAGAGCAGAATAAGAAGGTTCGGACTAGATGGTAGGAGCTGGTGCCTTGAGCGTTTCCCAGAGCTCCTGAGGTTCCTGGGTTCATGGTGCAATGGGCAGAGAGGGCTCTATCGATGGCAGTCTGCCAGCCTTGACCTTGTAGAGCATTTTTCTGGCCTCTGTTTTCAAATTCCGCAAATTAACAAGGAGCATTTGGTTCTTAGTATGTAATACTCAAGGGAATAAATAGGCTCAGTTAACTGTTTACAGTTATACTAGCCAAGTATCTAAATTAGGGAATTGCCTCTGGGGCCTTGACCTAGCTCTTTCCCCAGTCATCTCATCTTTTACTTCCTCAGCTCTCATATATGGGCCTTCCACCATTCGACCTACACGTCTTTCAAAGTCTAGTTCAGATTCCAGCCCTTCCATGACACTACTGATCCCATGTATGCCTATATACCTAGTAGTTGCTTCAAGTTAATTAAAAGTTTAGAGAAAGGAAAAGTCCTCGTGAGATGCAGTATTTGGAGGAAGTTTCATCATTTGGATGAATAGGGATATGTGTGGAGACCATAAACAAATGCTTAGTTGGGAGTATGAGGTGTGTGTGTTTGTGGTGCGTGTGTGTTGTATGTTAGTATGAGAACCAGCAAAAAACAATCTTACTAGACCAGAGGAGTTTGTGTAGGAACTTGGAAAAGTTAGGTTAGATTTAAGTAGGAGGGTTGGGTCCAGGTCATAGGCAACCTTTCAAGCTGGGAGAGTTTGATCAAGTTAGAAGAGGAGTTAAATGATTTGGTTAATAGTCAAGAGCCATTGAAAGTTCATGCAAGGAAGGGTGATGCATAGTGAGATGTTCCACTCTCATTCCAGACCTGCCTGCCTTCTTGGAGTGGTTGGTTTTGCCAGAGACTCTGTGGGCTCATGCAGGGAGGCCCAGGGGAGGCCCACTGACAGTTGAGGAGCATTATTGAACTAGTATTTAGTGTATTTATATTTCAACACACTTAGGAAATTAAGGAAATAGGAAAGTACCTCTCATGTCCTGCAGTTCCTTCTTCCCCTTAGTTTTTCCTAGGTATCGAATCCCCTACAGGAGACTTGACCTTAGGCTGTAGCATTATCTATAAGCTGGTTTTAACTTGCCCATGGTTCTAGGAAGAAAATACAAGTATAAATTAAACCCACAGATATTAGATCAAGTACTCTTTACCTTATTCACCTCTATAATTCCAGCTGCTTCTTGGGTAGCTAAATCACTACAAAAAGAGGTTTTTGCTTTAATTTTTTTTTTTTTTTTTTTTGAGATGGAGTCTTGCTCTGTCACCCAGGCTAGAGTGCAGTGGCACCATCTTGGCTCCCTGCAGTCTCCGGCTTCCGAGTTCAAGCGATTCTCCTGCCTCAGCCTCCTGAGTAGCTGGGATTACAGGCGCCTGGCACCATGCGTGGCTAATTTTTGTATTTTTAGTAGATATGGAGTTTCGTCATGTTGGCCAAGGTGGTCTTGAACTCCTGACCTCAGGTGATCCTCCTGCCTCAGCCTCCCAAAGTACTGGGATTACAGGTGTGAGCCACCATGCTCACCTGGCCCATTTTTTTCTTTTTTTTTACAGTGAAGAAGGAACAAAAGCAGGCAGTAATCTATATCATTAGCACTTAAGTAATTATTCTTAGAAATTTGGATTTCAGTTTTTGATTGGGCAACTGTATGAGGATTATATCAAGCTGGCAATATTACTAATAAAGTAGGTAAATTATTTCACAAAACACAAGACATTTATCTTAATTTAAAAAGATATAAAATCCAGTGATTGGGAAGTAACCTCAATCCTTAAAAATACAAAAGTGTGGGGCAATTATTTTTATTATGAAAAATTCCAAATGTGTGTATTTGTGTGTATGTATATCACATATATTTAAAAGTAGAAAGAATAATAAACCACCTTTACCCATCATCCAATTTCAATAGTGATCAAAGTTGAGTCACAACTGCTGCATCTATTCCTTTTTATTATTGTTTGCTGAAGTATTCTAACACATCCCCGATTTGTGATTTTTATTCCTATGTACTCAGTACGCATCTCTAAAAATATGAACCCTTTGTTCCACGTTCACAGTTCAATGGCACATTTTATAAAGAATTTCTTGGTGTTATCTAATATCTAGTATGTATATAAATTTCTTCTGTTACCTGACAGTGTCTGTTTTACATTTCATTTGCTCAAATCAGGATCTAAACAAGGTTCACACACTGCATTTTGTTGTTATGTCTCTGAATCTCTTTAATCTAGTGGTTGGGAGTTTTGATAGCTGGTTTTGGTGGCCAAGGGCAGGAGTGTTGTGAAGAAGCAAGGGTGAGGTGATGGATTTTAAGATATGCTAAAAGGAAATCTTTAGAATCACAGAGCCTGCTAGGAGTAGGGAGATGTAATTGTAACATTTATGGCTGAAATAATATTTTTTAGGTCCATGTCAAACTTTAAAAAATGCCTCCTTTAAAGTAGTAATATTTATATATTTTGTTCTATGTGAAACGTACAGCTGAATCTGAGTTGCTATTTAGAATGTTTAGTCAGTAACTGAAATTATCTATTTTACGCCAAACTAGAATAAAGAAAAAAAAAAATCCCAAATGTGTTCCTAAGAGATTCACTATCAATTAGAAATCAGTTATCTTTCTGCAACTTTTCTTTCTCAACTTAAAAATGTGTTTTTCCTTTGGACTTTATCTGCAAATTTTCATATATTAATTTCAGTTAAAACCAGGTACTGTCTTGCTAAGATAATTTTGTCTACCTACCACTGAGTATGGTATTCCTGGGGCAGTGTTATACAGTCTAGTCTAGTAGGGCATACATTGAAAAATTTTATAAAAATTAAATGTTCTTGAGCACTCTAAGATAACGCTTAATGTGATAATGCAGAAGCTCACTGATGTAATGTTCAAATCGCCTCAAAATGTTTATGCCTCTTCCCAGATACATTGCTTTAATTCTCTAGAGGATCTGGTTAAAACTTTTATTTGTGGTAGGCCTCATTTTGAGAGCGATGAAAATGATTGCTAAAATACAGTTTAAAATGTGTTTTCTTTGAATATGTGTAATCCCTATAAACAGAACATAAATTATAGTAAACGATAAACTTATATTCTCTTTGTTGGAAATCTTGAGTTGTATAGTATGAAATATCTGTGAGACCATGATCAACCTTTTCCTGAATATTTTGAGTGTGGATGCAAGCCCACATATTACAATTTATTTTACGGACAAGACACATGCTTTAAACACTGCAGTTGTTAGAAATGAAATCTTTAGATCTTAAGACCCATAATGAAGAGGAAAGTAGGTGAAAAGTATGAGATATTTTTTGTTTCATCCCCTCTCAATATAAGGATGTTTATTATTTTCTTAACAGTGTAAATGTACATCAGTAGTTTGTACTTTGAACTTTGATACCTAATTCTGAATGTTTGATTATGTATGCCTTTTAGGTGCCCAAATGTGAGTCTGCAAAAGCTGCCGGAGCAGTGGCTATGGAGTGTTTTAGAGGAAATCAAATGCAGTGATCCTTCATCTAAACTCTGTGCTACAAGGCGCAGTGCTGGAATTCCGTTCTACATACAGGTACTTGTCTGTAGGACCCTAGTTGTTTGTTTATATTTGTCTTTGATGATAGTGTATCCTAACCTGTTTGACATGTGAGTGAGCATATTACATGAAGAACATTTCTGTCTTTTCAGCACCATAGCATTTGTGGCTTTGTTTTAATGTGGGGATGGTGTGTTCCTGTGACAAGATCTGTTCTTGGAACAAACCCTCTAAAAGGTCAATCTTGTGGTATCAACAGAGGGTGGTATACATTTCTGTCTGTGTATTAAGCAGGCAGACATCACTGTGGCACAGTCATTGCTCACTTCCGGGAAGTGTACATGTTGCCCCACCACCCCACTGTATTAAAAAAAAAAAAAAAGTCTTCCCTTCATCTCAAGACCTTCAGTACTCTCTGTAGGCAACCAGTGTTAATATTTTCTTTTCAATTCTCCTATAAAACATCCATCCGTAAAATAATCATAATCATAATAGTAGCTGACATTTATCAGTGGTTATTTCGTATACATTACCTCATTAACTCCTTCCCTGTACCCTATTATCATCCATATATTCTAGATGAAGAAACTGGGATTTAGGTATGTTAAGTGACTTGCCAAAGGCCACAGAGACAGTAAGAACTGAGTTAAGACTTGAGCCCAGGCAGCCTGACTCCTGAACCTCTCTGCATATGAGAATATGTGTTTGCGAGTCCGTTTTCCCTTTAAACACATACAAAAACATATACACTGCTTCCTCTTTGATTTCACTAGTATTATACCTTAAAGATTGCTTCATATCAGCACATTTAGATACGGCTATTGATGGGAAAATATTTTATTTAGAAATTAAGACTGTTACCTTCATGAACCCAAAGAATAAAAACCAGTGTCTTCACAATACTAAATCAGACTCCATCCTGAAAGGCCTTTGTTTAATGCATAGTAAGATTAAATCCAGGAATGTGGTGGTATAATAAAAGCACTGAAAATAAATGGAATGAAGTCTGTCTTTTTTTTCGTGCCCCTACGTTTTTTCCTTCTCTTTCTTACTCCTCCCTCAAATTCCTAAAATCCCTTTATGATTTTTTTGGTGACAGTGGGCATCAGTTGCAGAGGTTGTTGACAGAGATCATTGAAGTAGTTCTGTACGGATTTTGGTGACCTTCAGAAATCAACTTTTCTTTGATCTGACCCATTCTGGATCAGTGTGTTTCATTCTCCTGCCTATAATTCACTCTGACCTTGTGTTTTTACATGTCATTTGTCTGTCTGAGGTCCAATGTTAAGACAGGATCAAGGTCTCACTGCATATTTGTACAGTGTGCTTCTTTCAGCTCTGGTGCCCAACTTGTACTAACTTATAGTCATAATGAGTAATCAGAAGGTGTACTTTCTTACCCTAGCCTTGGCAAGAATGCCAAAACTTTACCCAGCTCTTTGGGAGAAAAAAGCCATGGTTCCCTGAAGACATTTTAGTAATTGAATGTAGCTTTTCACTTTATTTTAGTTGAATAAAGTCTCAATTAAAAAAAAAAAATCTGCTTAAGTCTTCATTTCTCTTAACATGACTTACTAATAAAGTTATATTCCTGTTTTGGTGGAAGTCTGCATAGTGTTAGCCATGGAAAAGAACTGCCTACTTAGTTTGTGAGTTTGCCTTTTGCGTAGACAGATTAAAAATTGTTTTCAATATAGACAACGTTTTTTTGAATAGTCATTTAAAAAATATATGTTATCTGAGCATAAATAAACTATGAGAAATGTCTTCTAAACCAAACTTTTTTTTGTATGTCTTTATTTTCCTCTTCTGTAAATTTGAAATGCTTCAGAAGAAGCTGACTAACTTGAAACTTTCACTTTTGAGAGCCAGTAGCTACAAACATGAAAAGTAGACATGGAGGAAGGGTGACTAAAGTGATTTTTTTAAACAGCTTTATTGAGTTGTAATTCACATACTATATATTCACCCTTTTAAAGTGTACCATTCAGTGGTTTTCAGTATATTCACAGAGCTGTACAACCGTTATTGAGTTTTAGAACATCAACCCATGAAACTTCCCATACTCATTAGCAGTTACTTCCCATTTCTCTCTACCCCTGCCACTCAGCCCTAGGCAATCACTAATCTACCTTCCAGCTCTATACATTTGCCCATCCTGGACATTTCATACATATGGAATCATACAGTGTATGATCTTTTGTATGTGGCTTCTTTCACTTAGCATAATGTTTTCAGAGTTCATCCATGTTGTAATATATGTTAGTACCTCGTTCCTTTTTATTGCCTCACGTGACTTAATACCCTATTTTTACCCTATTTTTATGTTTATTGGACATCGGCAAAGTGTTAGATACGAAGTAAGTAAGTAAGCTACTGAAAATTTTAAATATAGGACCTCTTTGGTGTTTGCAGTATTTCTTTTTGTTCCATGAAGTTTCAAATACTTTGATTAGTCCTCCAAGTAATGATTCTTTTGTGAAGAATTAACTGACTGCTTCATCTCCAGGGAGCCTTAACATTCTTACAAGAAATTTAATCCAGAGATTTTTTGTTTTTTAAGTGAAGAGAATTTTCTTGTTAGATAAATTTGTTACTAAAACTGATGTGTTCATTGTGTCTGAGAACTGCCACCTACTTAGGGTTCTTAAGGAGTTGTCAATAAGTTTTAGCCTTTTAGAATTGTAAAATTTAATGAGCAAACTGGAAGTGACCTTAGAGATGACATGATTTCACCTTCACTTAAATTTAGAGATGAAGAATCTGTAGGTTAAACTGTGAGGCTAAACCACCTGTCCAGGGCCACATGACTTAATTAACTTTCTTTGATAACCACATATTTTTATTAAGGGGATTTTGCATTTTGGGATTGATCCAGGAAAGCAGCAAAAAAGTGTATGTAAACTAAGAACCCTGTTAATTTTTGCATTCTTTTTCATAGGCACTGTTGGCATCTGAACCAAAGAAAGGCAAAATGGATTTGTTGAAAATAACAATGAAAGAGTTAATCTCTTTGGCTGGGCCTACAGATGACTTACAGAGCACAGTCCCCCAGGTAATCATGGAAATACACAAACCCTCCAGTGTTGTTTTTTTCGTTTTGTTTTTCTTGTTTTTCGAGATGGAGTTTCGCTCTTGTTACCCAGGCTGGAGTGCAGTGGCGTGATCTCAGCTCACTGCAACCTCTGCCTTCTGGGTTCAAGCAGTTATCCTGTCTCAGCCTCCTGCAGTGGTTTTAAATCTTTGCTTTATTTTTTAACAAAAATTATTTGCTGGAGATAAAGAACTCTTGAACGTTGGACAGACATTTGAAGCTTGTTTGAATAGTTTTTATTTTATTTTTTTTGTCTTTACCATCCACAAAATAAACCATTGCTTTAGTTGAATATATTAATCAAAACAAACAATTTTTAAACTCTGGCGAAAACATCCAGCTTATATAAGCTATTTTATAATACTATTGCATCCACAAATTTGAAAGTGTATATGCTAGCACTTGAGAATTTCATGTGTGCTTCTTTGAGTTGATGTACATTTTGTAACTCAGCCGTTGAAAATTTCCTTTAAATATGGTATCTGACTTTTGGGATGTTCACATTTAGTTCCTTGTAGTCACTACCTATATGTATGAAGTTAAAGCACTCCTCATAGCTTCACTTCACCACTAGGGAGTCAGTATTAATACCCGTCAAGTACTGCTATATTATAGTCTGGGCTTCCTCAGTTAATGCTTCATAGTAGGACACTCCTTTTTTTGTTTGTGTTTTGAGACAGTCTCACTCTGTTTTCCAGGCTGGAGTGCAGTGGTGCGATCTTGGCTCACTGCAACCTCTGCCTCCTGTGTTCAAGCAGTCCCCATGCCTCAGCCTCCCCAGTATCTGGGATTACAGGTGTGGGCCACCACACCTGTCACATCACCTGAGGTTGGGAGTTCAAGACCGGGCCCAATCACCTGTTGGCCAGGTTGGTCTTGAACTCCCGACCTCAGGGATCTGCCTGCCTTGGCCTTCCAAAGTGCTAGGATTACAGGTGTGAGCCACTGTGCCCAGCCTATAGTAGGACACTCCTACCCAACTATAAAGGCCCATGCTAGGTCAGGGAACAGATTGAGAGCTGAAGTTTACAATCAAGTACAATAAGTACATAGGATTTTATTTTAGAGCCTGTGGGAGGTGTTAAAGGGAGCCCACGGGCCAGAATGTGGACTGTGGAAAAGAATGGGGATTCTTTCCACAATCATATGGAACATAGTCATATGGCATATAGTGGCCAGTGCCCATAGGTATGAAATGTCTTTATTTCTTTAAAAAATTGACTAAAATGTTGTTAATCACCGTTCAAAAATGATAATTTCAAGGCATTTTTCAGTGAAATGTGAAAAAGATATAATTGGTTCTATTTTCCTAAACTATCACTTTAAAAAAGCAGATGCTGTGTATCTATTATCTGAAATGCTGGGAACCAGAAGTGTTTCGGATTTCAGATTTTTTTTTCTTCTTTTTTTTTTGGCATTTTTGCATTATACTGAACGGGTCAACATCTCTAATCTGAAAATGTAAAGTGCTCCAATGAGCATTTCCTTAGAATGTCATGTCGGTGCTCAAAAAGTTTTGGATTTTGGAGCTTTTTTGATTTCAGATTTTTGGATTTGGGATGCTGAACCTGTGCTATTTTTATAAGAACATCTAAAAATAATGGGGGTTGATTTTAACGAGTGCTGGATAATTATTGCCCTACTGTACTTCAAGGTGATGGCATTTTAGTGATCATTTTTATGAAATTGGTGAGATTTAAAAATTTTGTCTGTGACCAGTCTTTTAAGCTTTTTTAGTTGATAATTTGCTTTCCTTCTCCCCTCCCATGGTTCATTTCTTTATTATTTTTATTTTGTATCTTTTGAAATATTTCAGCATACAGAAATATATAGTGAATAATGAACATATTTGAAACCAATTCCAGTTTAAGAAATTAAACATTACAGAGATTGTTAGTTATGCTGTGGATTCTTCCACATCTCATTCCCCTTTATTCCTCCTCAGCTATAACCACTAACCCAAATTAGTGACTATCATTCCCAAGCATTTTCATCATACTTTTATCTCCTTTTACATGAATGTTGTTATTCACACTTTTTATACTTTGGTTTTGTCAATCAACATTATACTTTAAGGTTAGTAAGCTCCTGTTCAGCCCCTGTTCACTTTCATTTCTGAACAGTATTTTATTCTATTTCATTTCATCCCTTCTTCTGTGAATGGACATTTGCTTTGTTTCCAGTTTTCTTGTATTAGAAACAATGCCGAAACAAACATTCTTGTGTGTCTCCTTACACATGTGAGTGTTTCTCCAGGTTATATACCTAGAGGAATTGCAGTGTTGTAGGGTACACACGTATTCAATTCGATACTGTTGTGTTGTCTCCAAAGTGGTTGAACTAATATTCCTGCCAGCGGAGTATAAGACTTTCCATTGCTTATCAACACCGTTGTATTATCAGACTTTTACAGTTTTTGACTTTCTGCTTAGTGTGAAATGCTGTTTTCTAGTTTTATTTTGCATTTCTCTTATTACTAGTCAGCTTTAACATCTTTTCATATGTTTATTAGCCTTTTGGTTTACTTCTGAGAGTTGTCTGTTGAAAGACTTTGCTTACTTTGATATTGGTTATTTGTCCCTTCATTTTTGTTTTGTAGGAGCTGGATTTTTGTTGTTGTTTCAGAAATATTTTCTTGATATTGATTTCTTTTTGATTATTTGAATTACATATATATTCTCCCAACCTATGGTTTCTCTTTTTACTTTGTGGTCTCTATTATTATATAGATAATTTTTAATTTTAATAAAATACAATAGGTTAGCTTTCTCCTTTATGGGTTGTACATTTGGATCTTATTTCAGAAATTCACCCCAAGATCAGAAAGATATTTTATATTTTCTTTTTTCTTTTTTTTTTTTCCCAAGACGAGGTCTTACTCTATGGCCTAGGCTGGAAGGCAGTGATAAGATCTCGGCTCACTGCAACCTCCGCCTCCCAGGTTCAAGCGATTCTCCTGCCTCAGCCTCCTGAGTAACTGGAATTACAGACTTCTGCCACCATGCCCTGCTAATTTTCATATTTTTAGTAGAGACGGGGTTTTGCCTTGTTGGCCAGGCTAGTCTTGAACTCCTGACCTCAGGTGGTTCTCCCACCTCGGCCTCCCAAAGTGCTGGGATTACAGGTGTTAGCCACCGCACCCGACTGAGAAAGATATTTTATATTTGCTTTTAAAAGTTTTGAAGTTTTACTTGTCACACTTGTCATAATTTTATGTAAAGGAAACCATATTATTATTTTTTTACAGATAGGATCTTGCTCTGTCACCCAGGCTGGAGTGCATGCAAGTCTTTATGTTACCTGTAATTTGTCTTTGTTAGTGTAAAATAAAATAATTTAATGTTTGCCATTTGGATGACTGATACAGAGACATTTCTGATATAATACATCCTTTTCTTCTTGATTTGTACTGCCTCTATTATGTGTTTTCATAGATAGGTGGTTCTGTTTCTGTGCTGCCTTTCATTGGTCTATTAATCTATCCCTGGAGCAAAACCACTATTTTATTTTTGTTTTTATTTTTTTGAGATGGAGTCTTGCTCTATCACCCAGGCTGGAGTGCAGTGGTGTGATCTCAGCTCACTGCAACCTTCACCTCCTGGGTTCAAGCTGTTCTCCCCCCTCAGCCTCCTAAGTAGCTGGGATTACAGGCCTGTGCCACCACGACCGGCTAATTTTTGTATTGTTAGTAGAGATGGGGTTTCACCATATTGGTCACGCTGGTCTTGAACTCCTGACCTTAAGTGATCTGCCCGCCTGGGCCTCCCAAAGTGCTGGGATTACAGGCGTGAGCCACCACACCTAGCCTAAAACCACTATTTTAATTATTGTGTCTTTATAAAAAGTTATAATATCTGGCAAGTTGAATCTTTTTTTGTTTTCTCTTCAGAATGACCTTGGCTATGTTTGGCCTATTGCTCTTCTATAAAAAATTTAGAATTAGCTTGTTAAACTCAGTAAAAAGCCCTTTTGGAATTTTGGTTAGAATTTAAACGTATTGATTTATTTGGGAGTTTTGCTCTTGTTGCCTAGGCTAGAGTGCAATGGCGCGATCTCGGCTCACTGCAACCTCCGCCTCCTGGGTTCAAGCAACCCTCTTGCCTCAGCCTCCCAAGTAGCTGGGATTACAGGCATGCACCACCACGCCTGGCTAATTTTTTTATTTTTAGTGAAGACAGGGTTTTGTCATGTTGGCCAGGCTGGTTTTGAACTCCTGACCTTAGGTGATCCACCTGCTTCGGCTTCCCAGAGCGCGGGGATCACAGGCGTGAGCCACCGTGCCCAGCCCATAAAAGTATTACAGATTATTTTTGAGATTTATTTCCAATGTCTTATTTTTTTTGCAATTATGAATGGTATTTTTAAAAGTTTATATTATCTGTTGCTGTTTGAGAAGATTGCAGTTAATTTTTGGATTATTATCATGCTTGTATTCAGCAGCCTATCAGAATTGCTGTAATACAGCAAATGACTTATCTATAAATTCTTTTGGATTTGTTTTATGGATAATCATATCTTTGACAAATAATGCTAAGTTTGTTTTAACTTTCTAATTTTTAGTTTTTTAAAAACAGTTTTTGTTGCACTTTGTTGCTGGAACCTGTAGTACAGTTTGGTATAGAAAGAGAGATAACAGGCATCCTTAGGTTATTTCTGATCAATTTGCTGCAATTTTTAAGCTACCCATTATCTTATTAAGGAAATTGAATTTTATTGAATATTTTTTGCATCTTTTGAGATAAATATGTTTTCTTCTAGAATTTGCAGATGTCATGAATTGTATTGATTTTTTCAATTTAATATTATCTTTGCATTCTTGTATCTCTCACTGGTTTTGTGAGTGAGACTGGCCTGTGGTTTTCCTTTTCATACTGTTTCTGTCCTTTTTTTAAATATGCATCTTTTGATGGAATTATAGTACATATACAGACAAATGTACAAATCATATGTGTACCTCAGTACGGTTTCACAAAGTGAACACATTTGTGCAGTCATCAAGGAACAGAACATTTCTAGCAACTGAAAGCCCCCTCTTGCTCTCTTCCAGTCCACACCCTTCTCTCCAGGAGTAGCCACTAGCCTAACTTCCAACACTCTAGTTTTAGTTTTATCTGTTTTTTGAGTTTTACATAAATGAGACCATACATTATTATTATTTTTTTATTTTAGAGACAGGATCTTGTTCTGTCAGTCAGGCTGGAGTGGAGTGGTGCTACCATAGCTCACTGTAGCTTCAAACTCCTTCATAATATTTTTTATTTATTTGTGCCTTCTTTCCTCTGTTCTTGGTTAGTCTTGTCAGAGGTTTATTTCTGTTTCAGAGAATCACCTCTTGGGTTTGTTAATGCTCTTAGTTGTGCCTTTGCTATTTTAAAAGTTTCTGCTCTAAATTTTTATTTTCCTTCTGTGTTTCAAGTTTATTGTTCTCTTTCTGTTGACTTAATCGGTCACTTACCACAATCATTCTAGTCATTTAAAAAAATAGAAGCATTTGAGATATACATTTTTTTTTTAATTTCACTTAAACTGCATCCTACAAGTATTGGTATATAGGTAGCATCTTCAAAATATTAAAAAAAATTTTGACCAGCGTTTAATGTGTTTGAAAACGTGCCAATTTTAAAAGCATTTTTTAGGCCGGGTGTGGTGGCTCACGACTGTAATCCCAGCACTTTGGGAGGCCAACGCAGGTGGATCACCTAAGGTTAGGAGTTCAAGACCAGCCTGGCCAACATGTTGAAACTCTGTCTCTACTAATTATACAAAAATTAGCCGGGCACGGTGGCACACACCTGTAATCCCAGTTACTCAGGAGGCTGAGGCAGGAGAATCACTTGAACCTGGGAGGTGGAGGTAGCAGTGAGCCGAGACCATATCATTGTACTCCAGCCTGGGCAACAAGAGTGAAACTCCATCTAAAAAAATAAAATAAAATAAAAAATAAATTTTTTTTTTAAGTTTCTTAATTCCATGGTGATCAGAGCATAATCTATAAGTTATTAGTTACTTGGTATTTGTTGAGACTTTATTTGTGGCTAAGTTTGAGGGATTTTAGAAAATAAATGTTTCATGTGTGCGTGAAAATAACGTGTTGTTCTCTGTATTTAGGTGCAGGCTTCTACATATGTGCATTGGATCAAGCTTTTTTATAGCATTGTTTGGATCTTACTAATTTTTTTGTAAAATGGTTTATCAGTTACTGGATGTGTTTTATTAAATCTGCTGTTTCATTTGTGAATTATCCATTGCTTGTAATTCTGTAAATTCTTTGTTTTGAGGCTGTGCTATTGTATATGTGTAGATTTAGAATTGCCACGGTTTTCAACCTACAACTGATTTTGAACTTCTTGTTTTAGGTTCATGCTTTAAATATCCTTAGAGCGTTGTTCAGAGATACACGCCTGGGAGAAAATATTATTCCTTATGTTGCTGATGGAGCTAAGGCTGCAATTCTGGGTTTTACATCACCGGTCTGGGCAGTAAGTGCTGTTACTATTCATTTTCATTGATTTAATTATGCTTCTGAGTAGATTTTAATAAACTAATCTTCCACTGGATGATAAAAAATATTTCCTGCCCTTTACCGTGAAGTTTCTTAGAAATCTTTGGATCAAGCTACATTTTTGATTGTTGATGGTTCCATTTTCACTCATTTGTTGGCTGATTAACCGTCTTTCTTTGTTTTTTTTAAATTTTTTTTACTTTGGTGATAGCTTTAGGGTTTACAATATGTATCTTTAACTTATCACAGTCTACCCTCAAGTGATATTACACCATGTCACTTAAAGTATAAGAACTTAATAATAGTGCACTTCTGTTTCTCTCCTCCCAGTCTATGTGCTGTTACTGTTACACATTTTACTTTCATGTGTGTTGTAAACTCACACTACGTTGTTGTTATTTTTCTTTAAACAGCCAGTTATATTTCTTTTTAATTTACCACTTTAGCTGTTTTTAAGTATACATAATGCAGTGGCATTATGTGCATTCACAACAGCGTTTATCAGCACTGTGCTTTTCTGGAACATTTTCATCATCCCGAGCAGAAGCTCTGTATTCATTAAACACTAACTCCCATCTCTCATCTCCCTCACCCCTAGTAACCTCTGTTCTTTCTGTCTCTATGGATTTGCCTGTTCTCATACCTCATGTAAATGGAATTGTACAATGTTTGTCCTTATGTTATTGGCTTCTTTCATGTAGTATATGAAAGGTTGATCCATACTGTGCGGTGGGGGTAGGGTGTGTGTGTGTGTTGGTTTATCAGTATACACGGTATACACACATCCCACATTTTCTTTTTTTAATTTTTATTTTACTTTAAGCTCCAGGATACATGTGTAGAATGTGCAGGTTTGTTACATAGATATAAGCGTGCCATGGTGGTTTGCTGCACCTACCAACCTGTCATCTAGGTTTTTTGTTTGTTTGTTTTTAATTGAGATGGAGTCTCACTCTGTCACCCAGGCTGGAGTACAGTGGTATGATCTCAGCTCACTGCAACCTCTGCTCCCCGGGTTCAAGTGATTCTCCTGCCTCAGCCCTAAGTAGCTGGGACTACAGGCACGTGCCACCACGCCCAGCTAATTATTGTATTTTTGGTAGAGAGAGGGTTTCACTATGTTAGGTAGGCTGGTCTGGAACTCCTGACCTCGTGATCTGCACGCCTTGGCCTCCCAAAGTGTTGGAATTACAGGCGTGAGCCATCATGCTTAGCCTGTTATCTAGGTTTTAAGCCCCACACGCATTAGCTCTTTGTTCTGATGTTCTCCCTCCCTTCCTGCCTCCAACAGGCCCTGGTGTGTGTTGTTCCCCTTCCTGTGTCTATGTGTTCTCACTGTTCAATTCCCAATTATGAGTGAGAACACGCAGTGTTTGGTTTTCTGTTCCTGTATTAGTTTGCTGAGGATGATGGCTTCCAGCCTCTTCCATGTTCCTGCAAAGGACATGATCTCATTCATTTTTATGGCTGCATAGTATTCCATGGTGTATATGTACTACATTTTCTTTATCCAGTCTATCATTGATGGGCATTTGGTTTGGGTCCATGTCTTTGCTATTGTAAATAGTGCTGCAATAAACATACGTTGCATGTATCTTTATAGTCAAATGATTTTTATTCCTTTGGGTATATATCCAGTAATGGCATTGTTGGGTCAAATGGTATTTCTGGTTCTGGATCCTTGAGGAATCACCACGCTGTCTTCCACAATGGTTGAACTAGTTTACATTCCCACCAACAGTGTAAAAGTACTCTTATTTCTCCACAGCCTTACCAGCATCTATTGTTTCTTGACTTTTTAGTAATCGCCATTCTGACTGGTGTGAGATGGTATCTCATTGTGGTTTTGATTTGCATTTCTCTATCATCAGTGATGTTGAGCTACCACATTTTCTTTATCCCAGTTCATCTGTTGGTGGACATTTAGGTTGTTTCCACTTTTTGGCTATGATGAATAATGCTGCAGTGAATATTAATGTACAAATTATCTGAGTCATTTTAGTTCTTTTGGGTATATCATATGGTAATTCCATGTTTAACTTTTTGAGGAATGAACAAACTTCTTCCCCAGCAGCAGCACCATTTTATACTCCCATCAGCCATGCACAAGTTCCAGTTTCTTTACATCTTTACTAATATTTGTTATCTTTTTTTTTTTTTTTTTTTGATAATAGCCATCCTAATGGATGTGAAGTGGCATCTCATTCTGATTTTGATTTGCATTTCCCTAATGATTAATTATGTTGATCTGGAAACAAAACAACTCTGAGTATTTAAATGTGTCTGTATTTTGGATGCTGTGGACTCTAGTATTAGTGTGTTGAGTTAGTGCTACAAATAAACTCCATCAAAAGTTGAAAAAACAGACACTCACAAAACATTGAAATGGAAGAGGTTAAATAGTGAGTCGCATTTTCTTTTGTAATATGGTCACTGTCCAGAAGCATCTTGATTCAAAATCTTAAAGATAGTGGACAATACCCAGTACAATTGTTTCATTTGTTTTCTTATGATTTCTGGGAGAAACGTTATAGTTTGTTTTCCTATATCATTGTGTCTTCTAGAATAAGGAGAATAACCTCTGGTTTATAGATGCTTGAAATATGGCTTAAAGTAAAAAGTCTGGCAAAGGGAGAGGAGAAAAGAAGCTAGATCTTAATACATTGCCTGCAGAGTGGAGTATTTACTAGAAAGTCAGGCTTTCCAGTTAGTAAGCTGCACAAACCATTTCTTACCTGTATGATAAGCCTCTAATTGAGAGTAAGTATTTTGCAGTGGAAGCCAAAGGCACAGACTCCCATTGTGAAGAGGAATCCTTTGAGGTTGCCAACTCTTGCCTAGAAAATTGTGCATCTTCCTGTAAGAGATACACACTTCTGGAGTTCTGTCTAAGAGCATTGCATAACTACTCTTGAGGTCACAGAGTTTACCTTTTACACTTACAGGAAGTAGAGCAATGCCTTTATGCTGTCAGTAGAGTCAGAGAGGTAGGAATGTGGCTTGACCATCAGGAATACTGGAGATCATAAAAGTGATTGTCAGAATTACCAATATTGCTTTCTTCAAGCCATTAGTTCCAGATGAACCAAGAAATATTTTCCAGGAAAGGACTTTCAGAGAGTGAAGCCTGGTGATTCGTCCAACTTTTTAGTAAAATTGAAACTATCAGAAATGAGTGATTCATTTTGTTTTGAAAAGACTATTTTTGAGACCCTAAACAGTAATACATGTGCACTGCAGAAATTTTGAAAATAAAGAAAAGCATAATAAAAATGGTAAAAGTCACCTGTTAAATTACCGTACAGATATGAGCATTCTGATTCATTTTCTTTCTCTTTTTTTATGTGTGGGCTTTACATATGCGTAGTACATGTATGCATACATATCCACAAAAGGCTACATAAATATATATAAGTGCTTTTATTTTCTAATTTCATAATACTAATAATTTCATTTCTTGGAATCTTCCTTTTTAACACTTTATGAAGGAAACATTTCTATTTAGTTTGCTTTGCTAGAGGAAATAAATATCATAGCTATAATGATCAACACTGTTACTTAATATTATAAATGGTTATATTTTCTGCTGTATAAAAGTCTAATCTAAGATAAAATTTATAAGTCAACCTACTTAATGGATGTAAAGAAGTATTCACTTACAAAAGCGATTTACGAAAGCATTCTCTGTTGAAGTGATTTTAAGTGTAATTTTTCCTTAGTGCATGCGAAATATGGTTTGATTTGCAGAACTTTGATTTGTACACATCCTCTTAGGAATATAACTGTGCTTAAAGCTGGCTACATCTGTACTTTTGACTTAATTGTTTTTCCTGATAAGTTAGGGAAAATACACATGTAAAATGAACTTAATTTTAACTTGCAGTAAAGAAATAGTTTTCAGAAAGCATTCATGTATATATTTAATTTGTTTTTACAGATTCCTTAGTCTTTTGTATTGAAACCATACAGATCTCTCAAACTTTGCTACCTAATAAGCATTTTTAAAATGCAGAGAAAGGTATTATGTAAATATTTTCAGCATTAGACATATCTACTTAATATATTGTAGATGTTATATTAAGCACTAGAAATACAAGGATAGATTATACATAATCATAATAATGGCTGTCTTATTGAGTATTTCTCATGTACCTGGCATAATTTACATTGCATTGATTATCTTAGTAGGTTCTGTTATCAGGTAGGTTCTGTTATAATCCTCATTTTACAGATGTATTTTTAGTAGAGATGGGGTTTCACCCTGTTGGCCAGTCTGGTCTTGAACTCCTGACCTCAAGTGATCCATCTGCCTCGGCCTTCCAAAGTGCTGGGATTACAGGTGTGAGCCACTGCACCCAGCCTCTTCTGTATCTTAAACAAGTCTACATGAAAGCTTTTTCATGCAAGAAAGGAAAGAAAAAGTTATACACTCTGTGAATAGAAGAGAAAAATTTTGGTAACAGTTGTTTGCAGTCAAATTCCAGGTTCTTATCAACCATATATTCAGGGCTTGATGGAGAAGGAGGTCAGGAGCAGGAAGTGTTTCCCTTGTGAGAAGGATGGATTTTAGCTGGGATTAAAATCATGCATTACTTAATGACAGGAATTCATTCTGAGAAATCTGTTGTTTGGGGATTTCATTGTCGTGTGAACATCATATCATATACATGTGCAGACCTAGATGTATAGCCTACTCCACCCCTAGGCTGTATGATAGAGCCTATTATTCCTAGGCTACAAACTGTACAGCATGCTCCTATACTGAGTATGCTACCATGCTGAGTATGTGGGCAGTTGTAACACAGTAATAATTATTTGGATAGCTAAACACAGAAAAAGTACAGTAAAAATACGGTATTATAATCGTATGAGACTATCATTAAATATGTGGTCCATTGTTGACCACAGCATCATTTCGTGGTTCATTACAGCTATTATCATTTCTCCATTTTTAACTTTACTACTACTTACCCTTTT